ACTGTAAATTAAGTGCTACTACCAGAGCGGGCGGGTAGGAAGTTTCCGAAGTATTTCAGAAGGACGGATAATAGGCGGTCGCACATATCGGTGGACGCTTTTATCAAACAGGCCAAAAGAGAATTCCACATATGCTCTGAATGTGGCTAATTGGCGTACATACGCAACAACTTTATACACGTCGAAGACTAAACCTAAGTTCGGACCGTTATCGGAATAGATGGCCAGCTTATCGGGGGCGTAGACGTTAAATTCGGGCTAGTAGATTATAGATTTATACCCTAGGGCTGAGAAAACAAAGAGTTATATTGCGTTAAAGGCTTCGTCGTTATCGCCGTTGTGATCGAAGACCTCCGATTCCTGGAGGTGCTTAACCATATCGTTGATGCTATAGCTGCGATTTCCGCGGAGGTATGATTTAACCTGGCCACAAACGCTATCGAAAGCTGCCACGTCTTATACCGATTTACCTCGAGGTAGTTTACCTTTTTCACGGCGAATACGCACTTCTTCGGATCTAGCGATAGGCCGGCGGCGTCGAGCGCCCTAAGTACTCGCCGCACCTTCGCAAGGTAGTCGCTCCTTAACCTATTCGAGTAGATCAAGACATCGTCGATATAGGCGGTTATAAGTCCCCTAGGAACTCTCGGAGGACGCTATTAATCCGCCGCTAGAATATAGCGGGGGCGCTACTTAGCCTAAACGGGTAAATAGTCTATTCGAACAGCCCGTACCTTATTCTAAACGCGGTCTTTTCTTTATAGCCCGGGGCTATCTTAATCTTATAGAAGGCGGCTACTATATCGAGCTTAGTAAACTACTTCGCTACGGCTAAGCTACGAAGTATTTCCGAGATTAGTAAGAGAGGGTATCGGTCCCTCTTCGTGATCGCGTTTAGCGCTCGGTAATTATAATAGAATCGTATCCCGCTGCCTAGTTTCTTTACGAAGAGTACCAGAGCCGAGGCGGGGGAGCTACTAGCTCGCACGAACCCCTTATCGAGTAGGTCCCTTAGTACCTTCCGTAATACTAGGAGCTCTTCCCTCGATATCTTATATAAGGGGCCTTATAATAATACCGCTTCGTTCCCGCTACTATCTCGTACTAAGTATACTTCGTAGTCTACTCCTAGATAGTACGGGGGTAGCTCTATAGCGTGGTCTAGAGAAAATAGCTTCAGAAAGTCCCGTAAGATATCTACCGGTATAAAGTCCTTAGGGTCTACCTACGGCTTCGGTACGAGGGTATTTTCTATATCTTTTAGGGAGATCGCACCGATAGCCGGGTCTCTCGGTTCTTGCCGGCGCTATCGCCGGTATTCCGTAGCGAATACGCTACCTAAAATAAGTCTCGCTACTCTTATAGCTTATATGCCTTAGGGCTCTTATTCCCCTACGAGACGAACCGCCAGCCTTATATAGCCGTGCTAGAGCTACTCCTTCCTTACGTTATAACTAGTCTTATTACGCGCTATCCACGGGTTACCTAGGAATAGGTCTTAGCTAAGACTAGGCACTATATAGGCGAAGACCTCCTCTTCGAAGCCGTAGATTTCTACCGTTAATACTACGACCCCGCTATTTCTTCCTTATTTTATCTCCCTCGAGTATTACCTTAAAGGGCGGAAATACTTTTCTACTAGCGGGAGGCTAAGTCTCGTCATAAAGTCTTTGCTTATAATTATATAGTAGTTATAGCCGGAGTTTATTAAGGTATTCGTAGCGAGTACGCTATTTATTCGTACTTATATATTTAATAATAAATTACTTAATAAACTCTTAAACCTCTTCTAACGAGTAATCTCGGCTCTCGTAGGCCCTAATACCTAACTTCGCTTCGGGGCTAGTCTTTTCCCGCTAAGGTATCCGGCTCTTCCTTATCCTCGTTATCGCTACGAGCTACTTACGAGAGCTCGGCGACTCTTAGAGACAGGTACTATAACTTAATATAGCCCTCTTAACCATAGGACTAGCACGTGACGGGCTTCCGCGGTTAGCCCGCGGGGGCGCGGCTACTTCGTTACGATAGATAGTTAAAGCCGCTTATATATATATCTCTATTACTATCCTTAGTAATAAAGGCGTTATTCGTCTCTAATACGGCCCTTCTACGAGGGAACTATATCCTCGCGCTCTTATCGGAGCTCTCTAGCTTCTATACCACTCCTTATACCCGGGAAACCTATTTACTATAGTTATTAAGGAGATCTATAAGAACGAGGGCGACGCGGAGTCGTTAATATATCGCACCCGATAAGAAAGCGAGGCGCGCGCTATTAGACTAAGCGCCGCCGCTAGCTTCCGCTAGGGTTTATTTAAACTTAAGTAAGAAAGCTACGAAAGATTATATCTCGCTTTACTTAATATTATATAAGGTCTCCGTAGCGCGTACGCTCTAGTTCGGGTCCGCGTAATACCGATTAAGGTAAGTTAGGAAAGAGTAAGGGTCCTAATTAACTTATTCCCCCGCTTTATAATAAGCCCGCACGATATATTACGTACTAGTATCTAGGTAGCTATTAATAAGGTACTAGCGTTCTCGCTACGAGTCGAAGTAGTCCTAGTCTAGCTCGAGCTTATCCTTTATCTAAACCCTCTAAAGGTCGTAATCCTTAATACTACCCGAGAACTTTAAAGGGTTTGCTAGCGGCTTCCTCGTAAGGCGTCCGCTAGGTCTCTACTCGTAAAGTATCTTAGCCGGGGGTGCGGCGTTATTTAGTAAAGGGTCGGTCTATATAGCCTCGGCTGGCGCTACTTCGGTAACGATAGGTAGAGCGGGTATAAGCTACTTAAGAGCGCCCTACCCGGCGGCCTACGATAAGGTAGGCGTTATATTTATCCTTCGGAGGAGCTAAGAGAGCTCTACGATTTACTCCTATATTAGTTAGAGTATAGTATTCACTTACTCGGCCACTTACGCGGTTACTATAGGCAATAACTCGAATATTTATTCGTCAGATATTATAGCTCGTGCTACGCGAATACGCTACGTCGTTAGATTAATCGTTAGATATATTATAGGCTAGGCCCTATTAGAATAACTTAATAGCTTAGATTAAGTCTATCTAACGATAAGGTAGGAAAGGGAAAAGAATAAGGAAATTACTAGCCCCTTTCCCGTGAATACGTTATAAGGCCCGTGCGTCCTCGAAGGCTCGCACTATGTGTTTAGGTGGTCCGGGCTGGGTCTCGTACCCAGCCGCAAGCAACTAGTAGAACCGTAACAGGCCTCTTGAATCTAGGGGCACGTTAAAAGTCGAAGAAGCCTGTTATATAGTGGTTCAACGCGACGAGGATACTTTAGTTAAGGCTTAACGGGTCGTAGATACTGCTTATAATAAGCGACATAACTTATATAAACGGCACGCCGAGGGAGCCGCTAAAAAGGCTCGTAAATAGCGTAGGGATAAGGTCACGGATATCCTCTAAGTTCACGATAAAAACGGTGTGCGTTACGTTAGAAGAGGCTAATTGTTGTTTGTCAGGCAGGTTTGCCTTGATTAGTCAGCCACACATTCGGCCCACAGCTGCCCTCAAAGGCAGCATCTTCGCGCTATCGCGTTCTTCCTTCTTTCCATAGCATCAGCATGTTCTTCAGATAGAGAACTCATCATCTTCCTTCTCTTCTGATCTGTTGTTCATCATCATCTCCATACTAATAACATCGCGATCTTCCAAAAAGTGGCCGTTGTGGTGATCTGGCCGTTAATGTGTCCAGCACCACCTTAGAGGAGGTGGGGCGCGGCACGAGTACGGGTTGGGCAGCAATGACTCCGTCTACCCGTTACCTTCAACTTGTATTCGGTTTGTGTCATACCTCCATCAGCTGACCTCCAGCTTATCCTCCTATCAGCCTGGACGCGATTTGCTCTCGCTGTCAAATTAACAGAGCGTCATTACATGCTTCAGAGGCCTCGAAATACTATCTGCGAATGTTAGGACTGATGAAAGCCTAAAGCCAGAAGACTTCGGAGCCAATTGGCAGCAATCCACAAGGGGACGGGTTGCGCGATATCCGGATGGAGGGCTATGGAACATCTCACATATGACCCCTCTCCTCGACAATGGCGCCGCGAGCTTCGGGAAGCCGCTTCTCAACCTCTAGCTGTGACCGATTGGGCTCGTCATGAAGACATCCATTCCCATTTCCCTTCCCAGGAGCCGCGATTCCCGTGGCTTGGCCACGACCACAGTTCAAGTTCTTACTACCATCGAGATGACTCTGAAAAGGTTCCTATGATGATTTCTTTCATCAACATGTACGGCCCGGACTGGGATACTGATGGAATAATCGAAAACGGTGACATTAAAACCGTACACCCAACTCTCCAGCAACTTGACACAGTAGAAGTTGCTTATCGAGTGGCCGGTTTTATCCAAGCGTGGCTCTATTTTGGATTGCTGGAAGCAGTTATCGCGGCACCCATCTCATCCACATACCTGGTTCGAGTTGGTACAGATGGAGTTGGATATCTGTATAGCAGAATGCTTCCTGTGTTACTTGTGACCTGGTTGAAGAGGCTCAGTACGATGGCTGAGGACTATGCAAAAGAGTCTCTGATAACGGCGATGCGCTGTTCGCATCGAGCAAGCTCTATCTTGTCCGAAATGATCACTCACTTGTCGAGTCACGGCGATTCTCAAACTCTCTCCAGGCTGAAAAATCTCTTGCTCTCGGTGGAGCCCGCGCTTTCGGCGCTACACGAAGCTGTCGCGACGGTTGCGAGGGTAAGTTTGCTGTCGGACACTCGCACCTTCGACCTAGGGTCCCTCCCAAGGACCTACTCGGAGAACTTGATCCGCAAGGGATGGTGTCGCTTCGTTGTAGCGAATGCGGAAAAGGCTCTTTCAACGGCCTTTATGAGGTTCGTTGACACAGCCGGCTTTCTTGGACCAGCCAGCGGCCACGAGAACTGCGTGGCAAATGCTTGCCATCGCAATAACGTGGAAACCACCAACTACACCCCGAAGCACTGGCTGGCCGAATGCCAGTGCCAGTCAATGAAGCCAGATCTCGCCGCCGTACTTGATATTTTGGACCATGGTCAAATTCCTGTGGTACGGTTGCACATGGATAGTCTGTCACTGGAAGTTAGAGCTCTCGATCCCGAGGACAACAAGGCAGACTACATCGCATTCTCTCACGTCTGGGCTGATGGACTTGGGAGCACAACAGAGGTGGGCTTGCCATCCTGCCAGGTTCAGAGGCTTCACCAACTCGCAAACACGCGCACAGGCGACGGAGCGTTCTGGATCGACGCCTTGTGCGTCCCAAAGCAGCAGGTTCAACGAGAAAAAGCCATCCGGCTCATGATCCAGACATACAAACACGCGACCGGCGTCATACTCCTTGATCATGGTCTCCGCAGCCTTTCCACGAGCAGATCGGACCTGGAGGTTGGGTGGTCAGTGGTTGCGTCTGGTTGGTTTGGCCGACTGTGGACGTACCAAGAGGGACACCTTGCGCAATGGGTTGACGTGGACCTTGGCGACGGCATGATCGACCTCTACTCCTTGGTTCAACGCCTCTACCGTCGCTACTACGATCGACCGGAGGGAAACCCATTTCCGTCCGTCTTCGTGCACGAGCTGCTAGCCATGCTCCAAAAAGCGCGGCCCCTAGATAGCCTGAACAACCAGAGGCCACGGTCTAGACGTCTGGTGGACCTGTTCAACGCGTTGACCAGACGGCAAACCAGCCGACCGACGGATCAGTTTCTCGTAATTGGGCTACTTCTTGATTTGGACATTAGTCAGGGAGCAACTCTCGAGGGAGAGGAGCGATGGAAAGATCTCTATCTTCGAATCGAAAAGATCCCCTGGACGGTGGTCTTTGACCAACGGCCCAAGATGGCGACATCTCTGTTTACCTGGGCGCCGTCGACCTGGATCAGCGCCGGTAGCGATCGATGGTTACATTACAACGACGAGGAGGCCGATATCACGGACGAGGGCCTCATCGTCACCCTCAAAATCCTGGTTCTGGACGAGACGGCGACTATCAATTTTACCCGCACCGTGCTTGAAACGGAAGAGCAACACTTCTATGAGCTAGCCTGGGAGGAAAGAGAGGTAGGCGCCAACTCTCAACTTGTTAAATTCGACACGTTGTTTGTGCGGTATCTCAAAGGCGAGGACCCGGAGGTCGTGCTGTATGATAACAGATCAGTTCTACTTGCAGCTGGTTTAGGGTTGAGAATGGAGGCGCTTGCGGATGGGACAGTACCACTACAGCACGATTTCAGCGCAGGCTGGGAGGTACGGGAGGTTGTTGACAATGGAGAACTTGAGCGGGAAAATTTACCTCGGCTCAGGGCTAGCTGGACGGAGTTGAGGTGCTGCTTTACATAACCCTGGGGAATGGGTCTCAAGGATTACATGCTGCAGCCATTGACCACATACGGAAGAAGACTGCCGGTGGTACGGCCCAAAACAATAATGCCATATCGTGGCTGATTGATCGCCTGATCTCTTGCTTGCCGCAATGGTAGCGCGAACTGTTATAATAGCGGGCAGGGTGTGAGTCGAGTTGGCTGACCTCATTCTAACAAGGTTGGTGCCATCAGCTCTAAGCTGTCAAAGTTGCCCACCTGCAGCAGCACCTTTGGGCCGCCGAACTTGCCGGAATCATCCCTCTTTCGGCTCTGATTGATTTTATCGAGATCCCCTCCAAAATCCACGTGTTCCAGCTCTTTGGAACGTGGCCCTGCTATGGAGTTGGCCTATTCCGCCATCCGGCAGCCGCCTCCTCTTGTCCGACAGCCCAGAAGCAGTCCAGCTCAGCATCGCTTCAGTGCCGGCCGAGAGCGTCGAGAATCCGCATCCCAAAATGGCCGGCTCGGACCTTTGGGTCCAGAACCTTGAGCTAGTCTACGTGAATTTCGACCCGTTGCTCGTTCGTCCCGTGTCGCCAAGCTGGCTGCCGCACCTGGTCAGCGCCTCATAACGCCAGTATTCAAGAGATACATGGCGACCAACGCTTTTGGGTGCATCCACTGGCTGGGTATAATCACCATGAGCGGGATACTATGGGCTTACTTATCTCTGGTCGCCTTTCTCGTAGTGCCTGCGACAGGCTGCGTCGTCTTCTTCCTCTACGGGCTTCACCTGCGCGAGCTGCTCGTTTCTGAGTCCCTACATGGGCATAACTTCAACCGCCTCATCCTTATAGCGGAGCACCTGGACGCTGCCCACTTGACCTTCTTCTACAGCGACAGTATGGTCCTCAGCTCGCTCAAACAGTGTCGGCACGAGCCCCAACACCCGACAGCGCCCTTGCCGACGTTCTTTCTCCGAATACTCCTGCAGCTTCTCATTCTGGGGTAGTGTGAGATCGTTCTCGGCGCCACGAGCACTAAGGATTGGAACACCTACTTCATCACTCTTTGGATTACATCTTTCTTCGTTTCGCCCGCTTGTGCGGTGTCTGCCCTGGTGGTCGCTGGACTGGATAGCATTTCAGGCAGGGATTCGGCTGGCGCATTTCCACACGTAACTGAGTTCGAGACGGACGCTGTTGATTGCCATTCTGGTGCTTAACTCGGATTAATTTGCAAGAGTGCCGCGCAATAAGGGGGAGGAAGGCGAGGAGGACTCGAACAAGGTTGCAAGAGGGGGTCACCAAATGAATCAATCCCATTAAGGGAGCAGCCCAGAAAGATCGAAATCCGAGCTGGCGACGTTGGAGGTCGATGGCCGAGGCAAAGCCATTGAAACAGGACGGTATGTTTCCAAGCCAGGAATGGCAGCGAGAGTATTGGAGGGATTATTAGAAGCCGTATATCCTCGAGGGGATCAACAGTGCAGAGAGGATCTGATCAGAAGCGAAGTTGTCTGGGAAACTAGTTGTGCCGACGGCACGATCACATGGGAAAGAGTCCAAGTATAATGGGGATTTAGTCGAGACCGCACAGCTGTTGCCTGCTGCATCTACCACTACGACGCTGTCTTCATTGCTGCCAGTTGTTTTCCCCACCACGCGATTCCAATACATTATATGAGTCCAGTTGAAAGTTCATGGAGAGCTAGAGCCAGCACCAACCACAAGTCCAACAGCGTTTAAGAATCTTTCCTGTTCCTTTTTGAATCCATCTACCGCCCTCGCCGCCCTCACCTCGGACAAGATCCAGCGCCCCTCGTCAGAAAGCGCTCTCCACTGGTCACTTGCCTTAGTCAACCCCATTCTATCCGCGTTGTCGAACTCCGCCGTCCATCTCGTCCGTCGCGGGTTATCCGGCATGAACCCGTCTATCCATTTCCACCGACTCACTTCACTCACTTGGTTCACACCTGGCAGAGTGGAGATGAATGCCAGCGCGGCGCGTCTCCCGCTGAACTGTAGTCGCACCGTTCGGACTGCCTCGACAGGTAAGTTGTTTGGCCTGCTGTTCTGCTCGTGCCAAGCCGTAAGCCAAGTGACAGCCATCATGACAAGGTAGCAGGCGAGCCAGATGAGGGAACCCCACGTCTGTTCCGTTTCGCGGCCAAGAAGAGCGGCAAGGAGGGCACCTTGTAAAATTAGTACGCCACCAAGTAGACGGACGAGGACGGCGACGATGCCCCACGGCTTGATAATGACCGGGATGTTTGTCAGGGCATGAAGTTGGGAGGAATACCCAACCAAGACATCTATCTCGCTCGCGTTCCAGTCTTGCAAGATGACATGAGCATCTGTGGCAGCGCCGTTGGCTGCTGTTAAAAGGATGTCCTTTCTGAGCGCCGATGCATTGGCGAATACAAAAGATGTGCTCTGCTGGAGAACGAGAAGAAGGGTGAGGTTGACGGCGAGGCACAAAAGCAGGATACCTCCCACCTCGAGGCCACTGCGAAAGCAAATACCCGACAGCGTGAGGAGGAGGACAAGCTCGGACAACGCCGCCGCCCGAGGCCCAGCGATCATCAAGCACGAGGCTGGCTCTTGACTCGTGGAAGGAAGCAGATAAGTAATGTTCAGGTCGGTCTTTCGGGGCACAAGCTCATCGTCAGATTTCGGGTTGAGAACCGGGGTGTTCCATGGCCGCCTCAAGACACGCTTGACAATGGCCTCATTCGCCAGCGGGAAGCTGTTGCCATGGCGCAGGCTAACAACGACGGCTCCGATACGGCTGCCAAAATCAGTCTGGAGGTCGACCCTGGAGAAATTCCAAATGCGGTTGAGGTCTTTGATGCACCCGGTAACGGGAGGGGGAACAGAGGCTTTGTTCCCGATGGCGACGATTAGGGCCGAATGGAGACGCAGGGACTCGAAGTATAAGGCGATCGGGAGGTACGACGCAAGAGTTCTGAGGGTGGCCAGCCTACCGATATCCATAGTGTCTCAAGGCCGGTTAGGTGCTTGCATGCCGACAAGAATTGCGTTGACAGAAACCCGTCGATATACGCCGGCTGGATATAATTTGATCCCACCTCGACTGAAACAAGAGAGTAGTCCGTACCAGCTCTCGTTGAAGAATTTCCAGGCAGCTAATCAGCCTCACAGTTGCATGTCCGCCAGGCATCCGTGGAATGGTGTGGAAGATTTGGATTTTGAGCATATATACCACTTTGCAGAGTCTCCTTAGGACGTTAATCGGCATATCAATCTATGCGGGGCACCTCCCAACGAAGGTCAGCCAACGTGTCAACAGCCCAGTGGGCAGTTGGCTTATCTTGCACAAGACGCTCGGGAGCAACATACCTATTTGAGACTAGTCAGGTGGCTGCAACCCCTACATTAGAGAAGAACACCCAAGTCAGAATTCAGGCCACGTTAGTCTTCCAAGGTAGTCATGGCTAGGTGCTTCACGTCAGGGCTACAGCTAGGAGCGAATTTAGTGGTCACCCCCGCAAAGTCAGAGTTGTTTAAACATGGACAAGGGGTACCTAAACGCCAATGTTGAACAAATAACTAACGGCCAACCTTGAGTCCACTACAGCCAACGGCGAGACAACTGGACCATCCGGCGACCCCCACAAACCCTCACTGGAGACCAGTCCCAGGCGCCAAAGGGTTGTGCGCTACACAAGGGTTAGAGCTGCGCCAAGGCCAAGTCGACCTGGTGCAAACAGCACGGGTTGCTCTAGCAGGAGTATAGTCAAATCGTTTCTTTATAGTAGACGATAGACAACTAGGTGAAAACAGGCTCAATCTTACAAATAGATATAGGAAACCCGGGAGGGATATTTATTTTAGACACATAAACTCCTCTTAGTATACTAGCGACCCGCTATGCGCATAACACATATCTAAGCCCCACTAATTTTTCATATTTGTTAGGGGGGGTCGGTCGGCAGGTAGGACGGGGAACACTCGGTCAGGCTAATCTAGTCTTTTACTACAGATAGGCACTCCTTAGGTAGGGCAGGCTCTATATATAAGACATAGCTCGAAGAGCTATAATAAAAGACGGTCGGGATCGCGATAAAATATAAAAGCAGGCGCGAGTTTATATAATTACTAGGTATAAGGTAGGTCCCCGCTCTTAACTATCTATAATAATACGCCCCCTTTCTAAGGGCGAGCTCTTACGAGTATTTATTAAGGACTAGTTTTATCGGGATATCGGCGGTAATAGTTAGCGACGATCTATTACGCGTTCTCTAAATACTCTACGGGTTCTTCGGTCGGATTATTATACCTAACTTACTTTATAGTATACCGTAATCGTAGGTTACCTTAGCCTCTTTATTCCTAGCGGGAATCTACTATCTCTTATACTATAAACTCTTTAGCCTTATTAACTTTAATAAGTAGCGGGGGTACGATATATTATTTAGGATAGGGGTTATTAATAACAGGTTAGAGTAAGTTAACGTAAAATATAGGGTATATTCTTATACTTATAAATAGTTCTAGTTTATAAGCGTACGGTAATATAGCTTTCTCGACCTTTAAAGGGCCGATATTCTTCTAATCTAGTTTCTTCTACGGCCGTAAGGTTCGTAGGTTTCGGGCGTCTAGCTAGACTAAATCTCTAGTACGATACGTGCGGGTAGGTCGGCGGTTCCGGTTCGCTTAGTCTTCGTAGCGGGCTTAGGCGGCGGTTAATTTAGACTATAGGTATTTATTAATCTACTTTATCTTACGAATAAAGCTTTCTACGTCCCGGGAGGCAGGAGTATTAGCGGCAGGGATATCTAGTTCGAACCCTATCCGGGGGTAGGAGCCGTAGTTAGTAAAGAATAGCGATATACTAGTAGTCTCGGATTTCTAGGAGTTAGTAGCGAATTTAGCTAACGGGAGCTAGGTAGACTAGTTATCTTATAGATAAGATATATAGGATCGTAGGTATTATTCTAGGATAATATTAAAGCGTTTAGTCTAGCCGTCTATTTATAAGTATATAGCGGTTAATAATAGGCTCTTGATCTATAGCTGTCGGTTTAAGCTCTTCTAGAACTTAGAAATAAACTAGGGGCCTCGGTCGGATATAATAGTTAATAGTAGGCCGTGTAGCTTCTAGATATAGTGTAGGTATAGACAGGCAGTCTTAGCCGAATCGTAGGTTACTTTATAGGGTATTAAGTATCTTATCTTCGTTAGACGGTTTATTACGACGAGGATTATATTATATCCCTAGCTCGGAGGTAGGTATATAATAAAGTCTATTAATATATCTCTCTAGGCGCGTTCGGGGATCGGTAGTAGCTTTAGGACTCCTTAGTAAGTATCTTAGGATAGGTTAGACCGGCGGTAGGTATAATAGTTCTTAATCTATCTTTCTACGTATACTAGTATACCTAGCTAGAAGTAACTTCTAGATAGGATATCGTAAGTACGGGCTCGTCTAGGGTATCCGGTAACGAGTGACTTATAATAATAACGGAGTAGTTTAGCCTTTAGTTCGTCGTAGTTAAGGACGTATAAGCGGTCTCGGAAATATAAGCGGTTATAGTTCTCGGTGCACTTAGATAGTATAATACGGGTATAGCGTCGCTTACTTTTACGGATCGCTTCTTAAATAGATTCTAGGATTTTATTAGCGGTATAGCTTTTATTAAAGAAATCGGATAAATCGGTAAGAAGTTCGGTTAATAAGCGAGCGGCGTAGAACCTTACCCTCGAGTCTAGGTTCTCTCTCTTTAGTACTATCTAGCTCTAGTAGAGAAGGCGTTTATCCCCCTCCTTTAGGAGATCCTCTAACCTCTTAGTTAAAGCGTCGGGCTTAGTACCTTATTTCCCGGGTCGGTAGGTAATCTAAAAATTAAATCGTAATAGGAACTTAAACTAACGGGCTTATCTTCGGTTTAGTAGCTTCGTTATAGTAAAGTACTCTAGGTTATAGTAATCGGTAATTACTTTAATTAGTAAAGAGGCTCCCTCTAACTCCGGGCGTTACTCCTCGAAGTAATAAATTATAGTTATTAGTTCTTTATCGTCGATCTCGTAATTATACTTAGTAATAATATACTTTTTCGAGAAGAAAGTAATAAGTTATAGTATCTTATTATCCCTTACCTAAGATAATACCTTAGCGGAGATATAGTTAGAGGCGTCTATCTCTAGGATAATATTCTTTTTTTAGTTAAATAAGGCTAATATCGGGGTAGTGCTAAAAGCGGTTTTTAGGCTTTCGAAAGCGTTATAGTAATTAGTAATCTAATAAAATAAGACTCTTTATTTAATTAGGCGGTTTAAGGGTATAATAATCTTCGAGTAATCTTAGATAAATCTCCGGTAGAAATTACCGAAACCTAGAAAGGCTTATATATCGGTAACGTAAGTTAGTGTCTTTTAGTCTCTTATAGTTTAGACTTTCTTAGGGTCTATTTAGATTCCCTCTCGGCCGATAATTAAGCCTAGGAATTTTATCTCGGTTATAAAGAATTTATATTTTAATATCTTAGTATATAGCCTAGCGTTCCTTAAGGCTTTTAGGACTATTCGTAGGTATTCTTTATATTCGGACCTTATTCGGCTATAGATTAAGATATTATTTAAGTAGGCGGTATAGAAAATATTAAGGTATTCTCTTAGTATATTATTAATATACCTCTAGAAGGTTATAGGGGCTTTAGTTATTCTAAATAATATAATAAGCGGCTTATATAGTCTAAATCGAGTATAGAAGGCGGTTAAGTACTCTTCCCCTACGCGTATCCGGATATTATTAAATATAAAGATAATATCGACCTTCGAGAAATATCGTATACTAGCTAAGTTATTTAAGGATTCCTTAATTAACGGTAGTAAGTATTAGTCTTAAATAGTAATATTATTTAGAGCGCGATAATTGATATAGAAGTATAATCTATTATTATTATTCTTCTTAACGAATAATATAAAGGATACTATAAAGGAGGAGCTTAGTTAAATAAATCCTTTTCGTAGGTTCTCCTCTAACCACTCCTTTAGGGTCTTTAGTTCCTCTCGAGATATCTTATATAAAGGTCTAAATAATAATATACTTCTTTTTTTTAACTAGATATAGTAATCTCTAAGTTAGTGCGGCGGTAGTTTATTAGCTTCTTTAGGCGAGAATATATTAGCGAATTTAGCGATCTCTAAGGGTAAGGTAAGTTCTTATTCAGTAGGTTTTATAATTATCTCTTCGATCTAGGCTATAGTAATAGCGAATAGCCTTATATCGCTCCTTTAGGTATATATAGATACGGCTCTTAACGATACTAGAAAGATATCCCGTTAGCTTAGTAATCCAGGGGCGGGCTTTAGATACTAGCGGATTTTTATAGGAATAGTATATATAGCTATAACTTTTAACGAAAGTCCGGGTATATTATAATATTATTAGTAATACGGGCTATTAAAGTATAATCTATAGCTTCTAAAGCTAACGAGAGGGTTATATTATTTTAACTAAGGTATCTTAAATATTATCGGGTAGTTTCTAAGTTAGGTTATATATAATATTATATTCTTTTATTTATAGTTATTTATCTATATCTAGCTACGGATATAGTATATAATCTAGCCGCTCTTTATAAGGCGGCTATCGAATACCTTAATTATAATCGGGTATATTAATCGGTATATTCTTAGGTTATAATTCTCGGCCTAGCTTCTATCGATAAAGGCCTTCCCCTTAGCTCCGCTATTAAGTATTACGGGGGTAAGTAGAGTAATATTATCGGGTAAAAGTAATTTAGTAAGTAGAATTATTAAGTTCGATCGTTAGTTATATTCCTCCTTAATTAGCACGCTATATATAGCGGCCGAGGAGATTTAAAGCGTTCTTTAAGCGGTTTTCTCGGGGATAGTAGTTATACGTTCTATTAATACCTACCGGTAACTTAGGGTAAGCTTACTTTATTTTCCGTGCGGTCTAGGGAGGGTATTAACCTCTAACTATCTAGCGCGGGAGAGTTAGGGGA